AGCATCTGTTCACATGAAGGCAAGTATTAGAGGTTTCTTAAAAGAAGTCACTGCGCCACACCAACATGACCTTGATTGAGTGTTAAATACTTAGTTGGCATACAAACTTAAGGTTCAACTTAAGTTATGTTTGTCGGGTACACAACATAGACAAGATCTACACCTGCCACTAAAAATTGCACATTTATTAAACACAAGCAACTGCGGCCTCTAACGATTGCCACTATGTTAATGACACTAGTGCTATTTTTTGTTTTACAATTCACAACTTCAAGAAAAAAAACCAAGTGGACTGGGGAGCAGCAACAGTTTACCGGCGGGGTCTGCCAAGTTTAATATCTGTTTCGCGCTCGTTCTAAAGGGCGACATCTGCTCACGCTTTATGACGCTTCTAGGTTCATTTCATAGATACGCCCGCCTAATTTATTTGATGGAGTATTGGGATGCTTTTCGCGCAATGTAGAGGGCGGTCGCGCCAGCGCAATGCTGTAGTTCTTTCGCAATAGCAACAATTACATAATGGCTTGGCCAAAACGAATGCAGTGTGCCGGAAACATTACGCTATCATATTGGTTCCCCAAGCATACGAATTGCCACGTCTGAGTTCTCGCATAAAAGCTAGAGAAGTGCCGGCGAGTGCGACCGGCGGCTGTCGGTGAGAAGAGACGCACGTTCTCTGGGAGTGCTTGAATCGCGTCGCATCGATGTTTGTTGCTTCTTGAGCGGACACCATACACAATGAAAAATGTTTCATTCAGGTTAATTGATGCCATGGCTGCGCTGTATTGTCATTCTTAATCGTCGGAAGCGTGTATTCTGAAACCCAGAAGCACGAATAACACAATTGTACGGGCTTGGTCGGTAGGCCTAACTTTTGGTGGAAATCACGGTGGTAGAACATGTAGTGTACAGATCTCAGCTTGGTACACTATATGAATTGCCCGCCATTATAAGCCCACCCATCACCTGCTTACTGCTTCCCAGCATTATTGCAATGGTGGGCAGAGCTCCTCAGCTTGGTGCACCATGTGGCCCACCATAACAAGCAGCACCCATCATCTGCTTAGTGTTTCCCAGCATTATCGCAATGGTGGGAAGAGTTTCTCAGCTTGGTACACCATGTGGCCCACCATAATAAGCCCCACCGACCATATGCTTAGGGCTTCCCAGCATTATCGCAATGGTGGGCAGAGTTTCCCATAATTGCCCACTATCTAGTCTCTACTTTCCACCATCATTTCCACTTTACCCATCTTCTGTACACATACCACCCAGTATGTCCCGGCATATCCACCATAATTTCCACTACATCCCACCATATCTATCATAATTTCCACCGTGCCCACTATTATTTCCACTACGCCCACCATGTTTTCCAGTATCCACCATGGTAATCTTTCCGATTGGGGAGAAAGAGGTTTCTTGCTCGCCTTCGCTATACCCTTGTCTACCAGCGCCGTCTCCTTCTCTTCACTGATATCTTCACACAACACGCGGGCAATGGGGCAAGTGACGAGCCTATCAAGACAAGTGACGTTGTTACCTCCGCGCGCGCATAGTCGGAAACGCACTAGCGCACGATGGCCATCGAGACAAGGCAGAATGGGCGTGCGACTTCGTGGCCTGAAGGAGGGCAGCAGACGAACCGTAACTGATATCCCTCGTATGGGGACCAACCCTAAGCTTATTTCATTACGACGTCTCCGTTACCACGAATTGTCCCTAAAACAGCAGAAACGCCGGGAGATATCAACGTGCTCGTTTTTTCGTTCTATTTTCGAAGGTTGTTCAGAGGCCCTTCAAGTGCAGCTTCTACGCCTAAAGGCCTGACCCCATGCAGCGTTGGAGCGCGTCGGCGCGCGTCTTTCTGACGCGGCGCCGAGCCTTCTCCCAAATGTAGAGAGAGAGGCGCAACTTCGCGTAGCCATGCGCCCTCTCTCTCTGTGTAGGGAGAGGGCGCTGCAACGGATGCATGGGGTCAGGCCTTACGAGAAATGCGAAAGCAAAGTCTATATATATATTGCCACGTGGTATGAGCATGTTCGCTAACGCGCGTCGGGTTCTGTGGTCTTGGCTGTGTTCTGGCTTCTCTGTGTGGTTCACTAACACCCGTGTAGTGTGTGCCACTGGGGCAGCCTACGTGACACTAAAAAAACTCGCTTACCACATGACAGCTTCGCGGCGCGCGCACTTGTGGGTTTGACGATGATGATGATGACGATAACGACCATGACTGTTATGACCATGATGCATGAAAATCTGCACACTGTGTCTGGGCATCTTTATTATTTTTTGTATGTGGTTTTTGGTTTGCTGACACGTTTTTTTTTTTTTACCATCACCGCAAGAATGTAACGGGTTACTAGTGCCTGCGTCGGTTTCATCATGGCTGCCTCACACCACCCTACTAGATACACACACACGACACTGTCGTCGTTCATATCTGTCCATAGTGTCTTTTGGCCTTGCTGCTGCCCTTTCTTTGCCGTAGCCGAAGCCTTGCCGTGATGTAGCACTTCTCAGTGCATCGCTACATTGTTTGTTGTGTTTGTTTTTATTCTGTTTGTGCATCTAGCTCATAGTCTTGAGATCGTGTATGTCTTTTTCCACAGTTTTTGGGTGCCTTGCTGCAAGCTTTGTCATCACTGTATCCATTCAGGTCTTCGCTTGTCACGCTGAATTATTAATGTCAGTTTAGGAACAGTGTGTGACGTCACAGCGGCACAGGAAGAGGATTGGATGTGGCGATTTATGAAATATTGAGTGTAAAGAGTCTGCTGTGAGCCACAGTTGAAATCATTGCTTTTTTTGTGTGGGCTGTGAGCTGTCTTTTTTATGTTTTGTTTCCTGCCAATCCGGAAAGCTGTATATGACTTGATGAATTAAACACACGGTTGAAGTAATTGTAGTTACGATAATCCACAAACTCGAGACCAGCATCGATATCCCTTTATTCACTGCGTTAGAGAGCACAGATATTATGCGTCCAATTTCTGAGAGCGAAACTATGTGCAGAGTATGTGAGCCCTCGTTTGAGCCACTACACAGCTGCATAAGCAAGCCAAGTCTAAACCTTATTTGTATAGCCTGCAACCTACGGGGATGTGTGCCACCAGGTGGCACAGAGGTATTAATGCAGTAGTATGTAATAGTTTATATAAACATCTCATTGATCAGTCTGGCGATTAAGTCGACTTCTTTAGAAACTTTTATCAGTTATTACATTAACAGTAATCAGCCGCTAAAAGGCTAGTGTTTCTGTATGAGACACACTGCTTAACAAAGGCAGCACTTAGCCCCGCCGCGGTGGTCTAGTGACTAAGGTATTCGGCTGCTGACTCGCAGATCGCGGGATCGAATCCCGGCTGCGGCGGCTGCATTCCCGATGGAGGCGGAAATGTCGTAGGCCCGTGTGCTCAGATTTGGATGCACGTTAAAAATACCCAGGTGGTCGAAATTTCCGGAACTCTCCACTACGGCGCCTCTTATAATCATATGGAGGTTTTGGGGCGTTAAACCTCACATATCAATCAATCAAGGCAACACTTTTTCTGTCTGAATTATATGCAGTTTTTTGTAAAAGCCGACGACTGCAAACATCGCGTTTACGTATTTTTTTTTTCATTGTCAAGGGAATATCTAAGTTGAATTCCAATGGCAGATGGCCAGTGCTCGGCCTAATCACGAACCGAGTGCGTTTCTCCTGCTTATGGCTTTCCCGCCAAAATAACATTTGAAATTTGTGTGCTCCCATGTAAGAGGGGAGGGGTGGGGGGTGCCTAAGGGGTCAGTGAAAGCTAATAACATTTTATATCATAGTGAAATATCGGCGCTTTAGAACCTGTAAAACGTCAGTATCATGAACAGCAGAGCTTTAGTTATCGAGAAACGATGGCGTATGTAGGAATCGAAATCCGCCACCAGTGGAGATTTTGGTAACCCAAATACGAAGACGTAGCTGGGGCCTTAGTACAAGTAATCACAAGTGACCGAACTACCGATGACTGAAATAAGTGCATTGCAAGACCGAATGAAGTGAAAGCATTGCATTTCGGTCTGGTTCACGCGAAAAATTAATTTGCGTTACTCTTGAGAACGGCGCAAGTTTTATTTTCGCCGGGCTGTGCTCCGCTACATCGTAGCTTCGCTTAGCCTGTGGGTAAGCAGCGCCGGCTGTTGGGTAGTGTGGGCATTGCGAATGCTACATCATACGTTATTTCTCAAAGGCGGGTGCTTTGAATCGCGCTACACAGGGTAAACTTGAGATCATTCGAAAAAGCCCTATTTAATTGTTCGGGCTTCAGTGTATACCAAAGCTGTGATGTAATAGTGATAGACGCAGCACTGGGGGGCTTCGGAAATTTCAATGTCCTGTTGTTCATTAACGTGCATCTAAATATAAGCTGACGGGCGTCAATAATCTTCGTTTCTACCGAAAATGCTGCCGGCTCGCGGCCGGGATTCGATCCCGTGACCTGGGATAAGCCTGCGTGGCTATCAAGAATCGGTGGCTAGTCTCAATCTGCCATTGGAACACACAGCACACGATCGGGTAGCGTCATACAGAGCATGAAAGCTTGATCGGCGATTGAAATTCAGCACTAGATTAGGCATCTCTTATGGTGCAGTTAAGCGCGTACTGTAACAGCAAAAATAGCTTGCTTGGGGAAGTGGCAAAGGGTTTTTTTTTTTTTATTTGCCAGCGTAAATACGTCGTTGACAGAAGCACCATGTTGCACCTCTTCGCTTTTCTGTGAGTTGGCAAAAGTAGAAAAACGAAAAAAAATTTAACCTCACGAGGGCCAATCCTGCAGTCGTGACGTCACATTCGGTAAACCTGAGGCAGGAGGATACAGCTCGTAAGTCTGAACCGAGCACATGATCTCAACTGTGGTTGTGTAAAAAACAAAAAGGGTTTGATTGACAAAAAGCGACTATAGCCTCTCTTTCTGGTGTGTGTGTGTGTGTGTGCTGTGTGTGGTTGACTTGCTCATTTGCAGATCGTGAAACAGAAACTGTCGGCCGATGCTGGCGCAGCCGCGCGCATGCGCATTGCTTACCTCGAGCAGCAACCAGGCGCTCTCGAAGCCAGGGACATCACCGGCGCAGCCGTCGACAAAGTGCGTATACACGACGACACGAGCGAAAAGGCCGTCGGCGAGCTCAATGACCGACGCGAATTGTTTGTTGTGTTGTTCGGAGCAAAGTGTTATACGTCATGTGGTGTTTTCTCGCAGTTGTGTTTGTTTCACGGCGTTCGACATGTCGCGCCATCGTTTTGTCATTTTCAAGAACCCCCCTTGCACCGTACTGGGCGATCAAACACTTACCAAACGGAAATAACGGATTCGTAATACTGCAATTGCCCTAGCTAGAACAAGTTCATCTTAGTGGATTCGTGCTAGCACACGGAGATAAATAAAGAAATCTCATCGACGAGTGCAATTTAACAACTGGTTTGTTTATTTTTTCTTCTTCTGAAAACGTTCACTTAAAGGCCAACTCCGGCGATTTTTCGAGGTCAGTGGATCTCAATCAAATTCGCTGGGTACGTTCATTTGCACGTTTGCGCCATTCATGCGAAAATTGCAGGCTTGAAAGTTTTGCCGATTCGTTTCAAATGAATTTTAAAGCTTGCCTCGATCCGCTCACCTCGTTCTCCAGAATTAATGGCAACATTATGTGTGTAACGCCAGGCGAAATTGACCGAAGGAACTGATGTGCCGCTGCAGCGTCTGCTTGTCTGCTGTGAATTGTGTGGGTATGGCCGGCGCTTCCTAGGTTGAGCGTGCGATGGGTGGCAAGAGGTGTTGCGCTGTGGGCCGCACACGATTCGCCACATATCCACCATACCAGCATAGGCGTTTTAGCCGACCCCCGCAGGCATGAGCTTGGACGGCCTGGAAAAGCAGTGCCATCTGGCAATGTTATGGGAAACCAGCCAATTTCTGGCAAAGTATTACGTGATACGTAGAAGAGCACTCAGTTGCATCTCGGTATTGAGATTTTTCGCTAAACAAAAATATTTGTGAATTTTCTGAGCATTTCAGCTGTCGGGAGCGTGCCAAGAGTGTCTGAGGAACATGAAAGCACCATTACCCACAAAAATCGTCGGAGTTGGCCATTACTAAAATAATAGCCGGAATTGGCCTTTAAAGGCCAATTCCGGCGATTTCTTACTATGTCAGGATAATGGTGCTTTTATGTTCCTTGTCACGCGCCCGATAGCTGACATGCTCAGCCAATTTGAAGTTAATTTTCAATTAGCGAAAAACCTCAGTGCTGAAATCCAACCGAGTGCTCTTTTATGTATCACGTAATACTTTGCCAGAACCTGCCTGGTTCCGCATAACGCCGCCAGATTGCACTGTTTATCCAGGCACTTCAAGGTGATGGCGCAGAGTTTTTCAAAGCATTGGAGTTTAGGGACAGGGAGGGAAAAATTGACTTTAAGCGGGTGGAAATAACTAAGAGAAGGTTATATGAATGGCGGCTGGCTACAATCAAGGCTACAATCAAAGCCATATCAATCCATCGATCGTTCGTGCCTTTGGCGATAGGCTAAAATGTATATGCTGTTATGTGAATATATGGCGAATCGTGTGCGGCCCACAGCGCAACAGCACTTGCCGCCCATCGCACGCTCAACCAAGGAAGCGCCGGCCAAACCAACACAATTCACAGCAGACAGGCAGACGCTGCAGTGGCACATCGGTTCCTTCCGTCACTTTCGCCTGGCGTCACACACATAATGTTGCCATTAACTCTGGCGGACGAGGTGAGCGTTTCGAGGCAAGCTATAGAATTCATTTGAAAAGAATCTGCGAAACCCTCAAGCCTGCAATTTGGCATGAATGGCGCTAACGTGCAAATGAACGTACCAAGTGAATTTCATTGACACCCATTGACCTCGAAAAATCGTTAGAGTTGACCCTAAACAACCCTCCAATCTACGCGATTTGGTCGAACAAGCCCATGAAAAAAAAAAAAAACGCGCATAGTACAACTCGTGATCGCATGCCCTAATGCGGAGATGACAAGAGCGAAATTTCTTCCTCAAACAAAGTAAAAGAAAATAAAGAAGAAAAGTGTGTTAGCCATCGCTTGTCTTGGCTGAGAAAGAAATCGTAGTCTTGACACTTTTACAGTCGAGTGCGATTTGAAGGTTATCGCGTGACTATCGACCAAGAACTACAACTGCGCCCAGAGTACTTTTTTTAGAAGAGCGCGGTATCACTCCACTCATTCTTTTTGCTGTTCCTTAAGCTGTGATCACTCCCGTCTGAGGAAGATTGAACTTCAGAAGAATGGTAAGTTGGGCGAGTGGATACTGATCCATAATATAACTGCGCAAAAAACGGACGGAAACAAGAGAAAAAAGATGATGATATGTGGGGTTGAACGCCCCAAAACCACCATATGATTATGAGAGACGCCGTAGTGGGGGCCTCTGGAAATTGCGACCACCTGGGGTTCCCAAATCTGAGCAAGCGGGCCTATACAGCATTTTCGCCTCCATCGTAAATGCAGCCGCCGCAGTCGGGATTCGACTTCGTGACCTGCGGGTCAGCAGCCGAGTACCTTAGTCACTAGACCACCGCGGCGGAGCAAGAAGGGAGAAAAAAAGGACAGAAGAGCGCAGACTATCAACTGAAGATTTATTGCAAGAAGGGTGCAATATAAAATGGACAGAATAAAAACCATGATAGGGCAAAGGGGAAGGAAGAAAAAGGCGCGAGGGACCAAATCACTAAAAACCTTCGAGAACATTTTAGTTCCCTGATGAGCCACTTGGACCTTCGTCTAGCAGCCCACTGTATTAAATGCGGCTGCGCTCCGCTCATTGTTAATACTTCTGTGTTGTTCCGGCATAAGAATCATAGAGTGCGCGAATCTATTGAGGCCTTGCATTTTCTCAAGAATTCTGAGTCTTGCGTCAGTGTCCCCTATGTGGCCATACATGATAAAGAGTTAGGCTATCTCTTTTTCGTGTGACGGGTTTGCTATGCTTGATGTCGCCTAGGTTTCGGTGATTTGGTCCCTCGCGTTTTCTTTTTTTTTACTCCTGCCCCTTTGCCCCTTCTTGGTTTTTATTATTCTGTCCATTGTATATTGTCTCGATTTGCAATAAAGCTTCAGTTGATAGTCTGAGCTTGTTTGCCCTTTTCTCTTCTTCGTTGTTTCCGTCCGTTTTTTGTACAGTTACATTATGCACCGTCTGAAGAAGCTGTTTAAACCGATCAGTGTCAAGCACCCGCCCTAACGCACCTTTACCAGCAGGTTTGTTATCGTCTGTGGACATGATGGTCCACGAAGAATACACTTAATCGCAACCATGATCGCAGCGAATGTAAGGCTAGAAAAGAGAGAGAGAATACTTTATCGCAGGGGCGATGAGGGAAAGAGAAGAATGCGCAATCTTGATTTTCACTGTTCCCAAATTGCCGCTAGGCCCCTGGGACGTTGGGCCGGTCGGCGCTCGCGCGTTAATATCCATGTTGCGGGCAACTGTACTATCGTGAGCAATATGAGCTCGAACACACTGCCCCGCCGCGGTGGTCTAGTGGCTAAGGTACTCGGCTGCTGACCCGCAGGTTGCGGGATCGTATCCCGGCTGCGGCGGCTGCATTTTCGATGGAGGCGGAAATGTTTTAGGCCCGTGTGCTCTGATTTGGATGCACGTTAGAGAACCCCAGGTGGTCGAAATTTTCGGAGCACTCCATTACGGCGTCTCTCATACTCATATGGTGGTTTTGGGACGTTAAACCGCACATATCAATCAATCCAGCTCGAACACACTAGCGCGTGGCAAATGACCTCAAATTCGAGATAACGCGATGCGTGGATGGCGCTGCCGAAACAGTATAGGGGGAGACGAGGGCGCTCTTCCTCTGACTGTTCGCACTCCCGCATGATTGTTGCTGTGAAACGGCAGCTGATCGTGTGCCATCGGCCGCCTGCAATGATAACACTAAAAGAAAAATGCCCCCAAAACAAAAGTGAGAGATGCGCATAAATGTTCAGCGAGGCACGTTCTGTGCATCGCGGCAGGCTACGTTACAGCCGATAATCTTTGTAGTGGCACACCCTGATTGGTTGTGGCTGTGCGCGTTGATGTGAGGCCTAGTCACCGCTAGCAGCCACAGATATGCTATAAACTGCATTTCGCAGCAACAGTATCGAGGCGGGAGCGTCAACAGCAAAGGAAAGTGCGCCACCCTTTCCACTTTGATTCTGAGAACGGCCGCTGCGAATCAGCAGATGTATGGTTCGAGGCTATTCGCCACGAGCTCGTGTTTTCAGGCTCATATTGCTCACGATGGTACGTTATAGGGCATGCGATCACAAGTCGTGCCATGTGCGCTTTTTCGTGGACTTGTTCGGCCAGATCGCGCAGATCGGAGGTTTGTTAAGCGAATGTCTTCGATAAAGAAACTGCAGTTGTTAGACGGCACTCGTCTGTGTGTATTCACTTATTTGTCCCCGTGTGATTCCGCGAATCGCCTAAGATCAACGCATTCGTGACCGTGCGATCTTCTCGTGCAAGCAGTCAACGCTATTTAAATGCATTCGGGTACGTCTTCTTGATAAGCGTTCATTATGAGAGCACAAACAAAAGGAGTAGGAAGGGTACGGGGTTGGCGTTGCGCGTCATGGTGGCGAATCGTGATTTGTCATCTAGGAGCAGTGGATGAATCGTTGGGCGAGTGATAATCCGGTGACACGGTAACACTGGGAAAACGAAGTCGAACGAACAAGCCGAAGTTTTAACTGCAGAAAATAGGCTTGACCTTAACTGAAGAAATTGTTTTAAGCTTCGGTGCCTACTGCCACAGGATTGTCTTTGATGCCTCGTGTAATTTCAATATAGCTACTCAACGAGTACCATTTTAATATGGTATTTAAAATTATTCGTTATAAAATAAGGCAAAAATCTATCTCTTCAAGATTGTTCTCATGAAGTGAATACCGCAGTCTGAAACACAAGCTCAATAGCATAACATTTGTAGTCTTAATACAGTACGTATTATTGCCATGCCATTTTTTATGTTTTGAATCACCTACCATTCTTACAACAAAATTTCAAATTACCAACTTCGCTCTCTTGGCCAAGAGCAGG